AGCTTTACTGAAAGCATTGTGGTATAAGATGGCGTTCTGTTTTGTATAGATGATGCCCATCACCTTCAAATATGGTCACCATTAAAAAAATATATAAAACTATTAAATTGCATCTTTTCAAAAAAAGTTCAACAGGTTTTGACTAAATTTGGCATTAAGGCCTTTCAGTTTGATAGAAATAATGTTGATCCACCATCAAATAATGGCCATCATTGCTACAAATAGAAAAAGAAAACTTCGAAAAAAAACATTTTAGTAACTTTTCAGAAAAATATGACAGAAAGAATTCTGGTATTACAGGGTTTCAAATTTATACAGACTTATACTATCAAATATGACCACTGTTACTCAAAATAGAAAATACTTTAAAGGACTTTTCAAACACAACTCTACTGAATTGATGGTCATTTCATGAACATGGAGTTTTTCACCAAAAACATTTCTGATGTCTGGCTGGTCCTAAATAAAATGGTTCTGATCTTGCATCCAATATGGCCATTGCTGTGGCCATCTTGAAAATCTTGTTATACCTCAAGAAATGTCAGTGATGGTTTAAACAGTTAGCACTTAAAAACAAGAAATGGTGTTATCTTTGATTCTTGAAAATTATTTTCAGCCAGTAACATATCAGTCCCATCAAGATAGTCTTGTTATTAATTGCACTGAAACTTGTTATATATTATGATCATTATTTTAAGATATGTATATTGACAGATCATACATTATTGCCCCATTTTGATATAATCTGGATGTAATGTTTGACGGAATTCATGTGAATGCACCTAGTGTTGCACTTATTTGAAGATCACTTTGAAACACATGTTCATCATCACAAGACACAAGATTGTACTCACCGAGGTATTATGTGACTTTAGGGGTAGGGTTTGTGTGTGAGAGAAGTGGAGTCAAATTACATGAACAAACTGCCCATCATTCCTCTAGATGGTTAATATTAATTTGAAATTATCACCATAATATTGTCATATTTTTCAGAACTGTCCACATGGCCGCCCAACGATGCGACATCTCATCAACTTGAACATGGTACCAAAGTGAAACTGACTAATTCCCTTAATGCGTTTTAGCATAGATTTGAAAAATAAGTAATCATATTTGTGGGTGATCACAAACCACAGGATGAAGTAGCTTAGTATTAGGAAAGGAAAACCAATCCACTAAATACTGTTAGTGTCTCTCTTCCTTGCAAAGTGTTTCTGTCAACTTATCCACACATTAGAAATATTCAACATCCTGTCAGTTGGATTAAACTGCATACATGTATTTGCATTAAACTGCATTCATGTAATTGGATTAAACCACACAGTGTATTTGGTTGTAAATAGACTATGACCAACTGCACACAGCATATAACCAGATCAGCATTTCCATAAAGCAGTGGTCAGATCAAAATCAATTGTTTATTCGATTTATAATTTTAAATAAGCTGCATTGTGCAAAAAAAATGCCAACCATTCCAGATTTTGTGAAATTTATTCTGAGGTTTTGGTGAAAATTAAGGATTCTGAATTATTTTTAGGAAATTTACGAAAATCAAAATTTTCAACAGTAGTGTTTTGCATTGACACAGGTAGGAAGAAAAGATTTCAACACCATATATATGATAAACTACTACAGTGAATTTAGTTTTTCAGTATTAAACCAATTAGACTGTAATAGAAGAAAAATGGTGTTAGAGATAAAGAGAAAATAAAGACATAGATAATTTGTGGAAGAAACAAATTTTTATGATTATTGCTATTACCAAAAATGTTGATGAATTAAATGTTATGGAATTGGAGAAATGCATACACCATTTTATTCTCACTGAACCATAATTGTTACCGATGGTGTACAGGTGTATACGGGCTGATAGGAAGATGTATTATGATTGTTTAGACATAGAATGGAAAGAATTGTCTAGGATCTCTGATAATCATGCTTATGGGTTGGCATCTCCAAGTCCCTGTTACATGACAGCAGTTGCATGCATGTCATTCAGTTAAATACAAATCTTCCTTGTTATAACATGATTCATTATAAGGCAGTTTGTACCATGGCTGCCATGACCAGAGTTATACATTGTATGACAACATGGATTGAAAGAAAATAATGTGAAGCTTAGTGTTATATCTTTATTTCCTTTCTAAAACACCATTAGTTACGAAATTTTGATCATTCCTCCTATACCACTATTCAGTACATAATGCTGTTCTAAATATGTTGTGATAAATACTTTAGTATAACATTAGGTATGAAACACAGGTCTGCTGTTATCGATCCTGACTCCTCTGTTAATTGATAATGGCCAATCATCTTGGCTTACAATGTATGATCAACCTTGGTGGTAAGATACTGTAACTTCTCAGTGTGAAACTTAATATAACAAACAGTCTATGTGTGTAGGACAAAGAAGACATAGGCCAAATTACTAAAAGTATTGGAAAATGAGTCATTTTCAGTTCAGGATTTGCTGATGCTTTAGTGATAGGAATAACCTTCCATGATTCAATTGTTTCTTCTCAATTTAATTATTTTTTGTAAAATCTTGTTTTCTTTCAAAAAGCTATAGAATTTCACTGAACAACATTATTTTATTCCAGTCTACAAGTCTTAAAAATTGTTCATTAATAACAAACAGACATAGTACCTTGAAAACATGACACCTAGTTGATGGGCATTTCCAGTGAAGACAGTGAAGTTCATTTCATCAAGTCCAAATGCAATTCATGGAAGATAATACTAGAAGGCTTTGTTGTTGGTAGTATAATTATTTTAAATTTGGTATACATGTATTTGTTCTTGATATATAGCAAAACATTGCAACACAGTATAGGGAAAAATCAATTGGTGTGGTGGATGTCTATAGTACATATAATGAGGCAATCACTGCAGGTTTTCTTATGAGTCCAGGAGAGGAGATTTCACACTTCTTTTATCTTGTGCTTTGGGGCTATAGAGTGTTCAAATATAATGAGGAAACAAATGTATGGAATAATTATGTACACCTAATATACAGTGTCTGACATCTCAAGTCTGCAAATGGTCAGTGTTAGGTAATGACTTCCATACCATTGATAACCTGACTTGTCATTAATGATACCCTTTGGGGTCACCATTTATAAACTTAGGGTGTCTTTGGGGTCACCATTTAAAATCTTAGGGTGTCTTTGGGGTCACCAGTTATAAACTTAGGGAGTCTTTTGGGTCACCATTTATAAACTTAGGGTGTCTTTGGGGTCACCATTTATAAACTTAGGGTGTCTTTGGGGTCACCATTTATAAACTTAGGGAGTCTTTTGGGTCACCATTTATAAACTTAGGGAGTCTTTGGGGTCACCATTTATAAACTTAGGGTGTCTTTGGGGTCACCATTTATAAACTTAGGGAGTCTTTGGGGTCACCATTTATAAACTTAGGGTGTCTAGTCATGTCTCAGTAAAAGTATATGCATCTTTTTACAAATGAAAGTAATTTTTAAAAAAATATATTTATTGTAAATAAAGATGGAATCAACATTTTCATGTTCTTCATGTTTAGTTGTAATGTCATGAGTGTTGAACAGAATAAAATATATGATAACATGCCTCTTGATGTTTGATTTGAACTGACTTTTTCTTTGTCATGACTGGGTAGGGGTGTCTAATGCCTGGTACATGGCTCTGTCATTGAGTCAGCTCATTAATTCAGATATATTTGTCTGCACATTTACTCTAGATGAAAAGACTTTGACATTTTTTTATAGAAAGATCAAAGTTCAGCTGTAAACCACAGAAGGAAAACATTTGGTGCATGATAATTATGACCTCTTGTAGATGCAGTGGCTTGTAGTCAGCAGTTTAAAGCAGTGCAAAAAACCCATGTTGATACAACCATCCCAACAAGAGCAAATAGGGACCTACTGCTTTTACTTTGCGAAACTGGCATTTTTTAAATTTATTTTTTAAAAAAGTTTTTCAAGTACATGTAGCCTTTTCTGCTCATTCTATTTTACAGGTGTATTACAGTCGATAAGTTCATAACAAAACCATCTAAACATCGAATTAACATGGACTAGTCAAAGATAAATTTAAAAAGAACCATCGTTAGTAGCAGAAAAGGTATTTATATGAGCTAAAATAAGTGGTTTGTTGTTATATTTTATGCACAATGTATCATGATGTTGAGATTGTAGTGAGCTATTGTCATTATCGTGTTGCATGAAGACTAAGCAAGCTGCAAAAAGCACACAATGCCTGTGGCAAACAGCATGAGGCATGTAATTGGGTCTGCCACAATTATCTTCCAGTCAATGCCGTTCAATGACTGATAATCATATTGCACGCATACCTGTAACCTGACTATCAAACTTTCCATATTGAAAATTACAGTTGTGGTCAATGCTGTTAATAGAGAAGAAAATTCCTAAATATTCCTGAAATGCATACTGTGAAATTACTTATTTGCTTGGTAACAGTTAAATCTTTTGTCTTCTTCTTTCAATGCTTGTAGTTTTGAACAGAAGCTTAAATCTTGGGTATTGTAAGCCCTTGTTCATAATAACAGTCTAAAGGAAAATGAAAGTACATTGCATCAGCTACTTATCTTACATAAACCTTCTTTGTATGCAGAAATATAGACTGAATTTTGTAATATGACAGCTATAGTAGTTTTGATATTATATTGCCGCTAACATGTTAGAAGGCATTTCTAGCAAAGCAAGAGTTTGGTTTATGTTAAGAAAACAGCAGATATTAACAAAATCGTGAACTGGTATATAAGCAGTTGCATACTTTAGATCCATAAAGTTTGTTAGTTGTTACGATTCTAGCAGGTCGGTAATGGTATACAGCCATGTGGTTTTCTGCAGTTGATTCTTTGATGGGTTGAATAGACCACATGTCGAGAGTCTTGACACTTAGTTTTATTATTAGTTATACACATTTAGTGGTAATTTAGTGATATTTTTGGGTACTGGTGATAAATAGTGGTTAATATTGTTTTGTGTATGGCATTTGTGTCGACCGCTTTCGTTGCCTAATGGTTAGAGTGTCTGCCTTGGATGCGGGAGGTCATGGGTTCAATCCCTGGATAATGTGGACATCATGCTACATGTCTGCAAAAACATGGTGCCTCAGTACTAGACATCACTATAAAGTGCCACACTGCAGACATTGTAGCGATATGACTGAAACATTGTTAGAGCCACGTAAAAAATCTAAATCACATACACACACACGCGTGCATTTCTGTCATGGTAAATTAGTTTTTATAGCTGTATAGCATAGTCATTTGCACAAACATGGGATAATGGGGTACTTTAGAAAGCAGGATTCAATGATGGGGTTTAATTTGGCTGGTGATCTATATAAAGGATAAAGGGGAAATATTAGACCAGAGTTTTTTATTTTGTACATTTCATCTTGAACCCATTACTAAAATAGCAAGAAAGTGGTAAGAGATTTAAACTCAGACAAATTGATTGATAAAATACAGAGAACTAAATTACTATTTACTGTGGTAGAATAGATGAATAATTATAGAGAACTTAATTACCATTTACTGTGGTAGAATAAATGGATAATTATAGAGAACTATATTACCATTTACTGTGGTAGAATAGATGGATAATTACAGAGAACTATATTACCATTTACCATGGTAGAATAGATGGATAATTACAGAGAACTATATTACCATTTACCAGAGTAGAATAGATGGATAATTACAGAGAACTAAATTACCATTTACCGTGGTAGAATAGATGGATAATTACAGAGAACTATATTACCATTTACCAGAGTAGAATAGATGGATAATTACAGAGAACTAAATTACCATTTACCGTGATAGAATAAATGGATAATTATAGAGAACTAAATTACCATTTACCTTGGTAGAATAGATGGATAATTACAGAGAACTAAGTGGAGAGCCTTTGGCGGTGGATATACAAGTTAACTTTCATGTGATTATTAGGAAATAAAGGAAATATACAAAGGTTACCCAAAACAGATATCTTCCAGATGAACAGCAGTGACATAGTGTACTAAACAACAATTGAATATACTGGGCAATCATCATACAAAAAATAATGGTGAGGCTCAAATGCTCTAATAAGAAAATCTGATTATGTGTATTAGGTATATTGCAAATGAATAAATGTTTTAATTACTAATCGCATCAGCGACCTTGCAGTCTCAGTGAGAAATGAGGACAATGGGTCCTCAAAATCTAATTTCTATATCACTGTGGAATCTATTTTTCGATAAAAATTGTCTTTGATATTTTTTGTACAAAATGCCAACAACAACAGATGGGGTGAGGGAGGTACACGTATATACATCAACAGGTTGAGGGCTTGTGGCCCCAGTGTGAAGTGAATACAGTGGGCACCCAGAATATAATTTCTATATCGCTGAAGAAATTCAGTGGAATACTCATAGAAAAATACAGGTTTGTTTTTTAAAAATCAGATTTATTTTTTAAATCTGCTTTACTTATAATATGTTTTAAATAGAGTCCAGATTTTTCCGGCATTTCTAGTGACAGCAACTTTTGCACTTCTTTTAAGGTTGCTATTGGTTCTATGCATTTGCCACAAACCACCAATTAGTGGTTTGGAAGATATCCGTTTTAGGGCACCTCTGTATATTTCCTTTTTTTCCTAATGATCACATGAAACTTAACTTATCTATCAACCGCCAAAGGCTCTCCACTTATTATGTACTTTTAAGAGTGACATATGTTAGGTGAAGTTGCTTGAATTTAAAACATGCACAGTGGAGAGACTGTTGGCATACCTCTATGCCACTTTGATGTAATGTATCTGACATTTCTTAGGATGTTGTACTTTTGGAAATTGTAAATGATCTTAACACACTGCTAACTAAAATGACTTCTCCCTTTTGCTCCAAAATATTAACCTGAATTTGTCTAAAGTACACTATCCTTAGCAGCTATTAAAATATGGAAAATGAATTTGTCAAAGTAGAAAATACCAGCTTCTGAAAGTGCAATGAATGAATTACCAAATATATAAAATGGTAAAAAAAATATTATTGGCTCTTTTTTTTTTTTTACAATTTACCTCTGAAGTTCAGGAAGTGAAAATAAGCAAGTGGAGCTAGCACTTTTTTGAAAGGTGCACAGCTGGAGTCAGGCCAAGCTATATACATGTACTCTATAACCCATATTACACCCATCAATCATACACTGAAATATAGAAAATATAGAAAATTAAAGGTTCTTTGAACAAAACCTAAGATATTCAAGGTCTTTTATAAAAAGACAGGATTACTAGTGAGGAATCCCTGGAGAATTCTTTTTCTTTAAAATTCTTACCCTATGCAAAATAAAAAAACTGCAGATTGCCACCTTAAAACAAATATAAATATGTAGACATTTATTTTTCTTATTTTCATATTATGTATGATGTTCTGAATTACATGGTACCTTACCATTGATTTATTTTTTTTGCTCTTGCTTACATATTTTGCCTTTAGGCATATTTGTGTGTGTAGTGACCTTAATTATGGGAAAATAAGCCTAAGAATATAAGAATAAAGTCAACTTAAATTTAAAACTGTTGCATTAAGTAAAAGAAATACACAGTAAGAATGTTTATTTGCAATGAAATTAAAAAATAAATGATGACAAAGCAAATTTGCTTTTTTTCATATTAAACAATAAGCTAATATTTTATCCTTGACCTTTGACCTTTATGAACCTCACCTTTTCCATCACTTCTCAAGCTGTAAAATTTATTGTTAAGATGACAGGAAAAATTATGGCTAGTTTCATGTTCCTGGCTTTCAGAATAACACTGGTTGATATGTCGACCGACAAAATGCAATTTGCATTTTTTAAATAACTCACTTTTCATCGGGGGTGGGGATTTATCTGTACCTGTTTGAGACTGACACTATTTAATAATGTTTTGAGGAGGGAAATACGGGAGAATTTTTCATTAGGACTGTTGATGCTTTCAACTTAACTATTTCAGCCATACAATCAAAATTAAGTCATATAATAATAATAATAATAATAATAATAATAATAATAATAATAATAATAATAATAATAATAATAATAATACCAACGTGCTCACTAGTTATTATGTACTTTTAAGTGAGTGACGTATGTTAGGTGAAGTTGTTTGCATTTAAAACATGCAGTGAATGTTGGCATAGACAATTCCAGCTTCTGAAAGTGCAATGAATGAATTACCAAATATATAAAAAGGTAAAAAAACCAAACAAAACATTGGCTCTTTTTTTTACAATTTGCCTCTGAAGTTCAGGAAGTGAAAATGAGCAAGTAGAGCTAGCACTTTTTTGAAAAGTGCACAGCTGGAGTCGGGCCAAGCTATATACTCTATAACCCATATTACACTCATCAGTCTCACACCACAATAAAGGAAATTAAAGATTCTTTGAACAATACCTAAGATATACAAGGTCTTTAATACATAGCCTGTATAATTAGTGAAGAAACCAGGGGGAATTCGTTTTCTTTGACATTGTAACCCTATGCAAAAATACGAAACTGAAGTGCCACCAAACCACCGCAAACCACTACAGCCTACCGCAAACCACCTTTAAAATGCATTATAATGCTAATTTATCAGTGATAATATGTTATAAGTAAACAAAATGTGAAACTTATAACATAAGACGTGAAGAAATTTTGAAATGAGATTGTTCTTTTTACACCGAGTCTGATTCACAGCTGTGAAGTGTTTTCACGATATGTGCTTTCTTTTTTTTTCATAATCATTATAACATACAACATTACATTCATTAGAAAATTGAAATAAGTAGCTTGGGGTACTAATATTAATGTTGTTGGGCTTAACGCCATTTTTCAGCACACGATAGGCTATTCATGACGGCCAGTATTAATATTAATAATAGTACTAATATTAGTACCATTTAGTAACTAAAAATGTGTTTCTTTTTCGTAATTGTTATTATTTCATTTTCCCAAAATTGTGTGCTGATGATTGCTATCTAAATCATTTTTGTAAAAAAAATGTTTATTGGGTTTGGGGTTTTTTTTTGTATTTCTCATCTTTACATATTAATTATGGTGTCTACAGTTTTTCCTACAATTACATACCTTGCTGGCATGTCGGAAGAAGAGGTTATTTAAACAGTACTCACAAATTATAGTATTTGCATTTTTAAAAGATGTAAATATTAGGAGTTTAAAAAAAAAAAGAAAAACGCTAGCCCCCTTCCTTTAAAATTTAGTAATGAAATTTAAATCGTGTGGACAAGTTCATTCTATCTAAAACGTTTCAGACCGGGATATTGTTTACAATTCGTCATATGACAGACTTACACTATATCAAAAGACCAGTTAGAATCAATTTTCATTTTGAAATCTGTTTAATTCATATGATTTTTGGTTTCAGTTTTGCGTTCTTGTCTAGTTGTATGTAACTACCGCAGATGAGTATAAAGGGAACTAAATACTGCTATCTCAATCTACCATTTTAGATCATCTGCCCAGAAGTTGAATGTCATTTTGTTTGTATGTTTAAACCAGAGGAAACAATATTTTTAACAAGACAGATGTGCACTAACTAGTTTTGCATAAGATTAGAAACTGTACACGCACATACATGCTATTTGCATGTCAAAGTGGATCCGCACGCAAAACACACACTGCCTTTCTATGTTGATTTATAATAAATGAATCATTATGAATGATTTAAGGAGGCACTACATTTATACTGACCGACACTCGTCTGAGAAGAAAAAGAATTAATAAAACGTCTTTTACATACATATAGAGAATCACACGGCAGTAACCCTCTCCTGTAAAATATTAAATTTCAGCATTGCAAACAGCAAGAAAATAAAATTAAGGAACATATTACAGAATAAAGATAAACTTTATAGTCAAATTGACTCTTCTGTAAATGCATTCAAATTGCTTTGTTTTGGGGGGGGTTTCGTCCTTTTGTTTTCGTTGGTCTGGCTTCCGAGCAATGTTCTTTTCTTAACACCATTTTAAATAGAAAATGTTCCGTTGGTTGAAACTATTTCTGTTATGTATTGCTTTTTTAATTCTTAAGGAATTTCAGGAAATTTTTTGTTTGTTTCTCCTCATATAACGTAGATGACGCATTATGTGGCATCATTTCATTGCCAAACAGTAGGCGTAATTGCTTTCACCATGTATCACACATCTGGAAGATATGAACTGGAGATGTACTGCTTGAAATAATAGCTGAACCAGCTCAGGGGAATGCCGTGGCTTCTAAACACTTTTTAATTTGTGTGGGGTGGGGTGTTTTTGAGTATGTTGTTTAATGATTCGGTATTATTGTTTGTCTATAAATCCTTGTTGAGAATTTTTTCTTCTTGGTTCATTTACATGGCAACACAATTTTTCTTTTACGCGGCTGTCATAATATTTAATGAAGAGAGTGTGGTCACAAAAAAAGCTGCTTCATTTTCGAGGACCCCCGCCTCAAGACGATGGCGAAGTTCACATTAACCAAGCCTGCATGGCCACAAATTTTATCTGTGACTGTTCTCTTCAGATTATCAGTCATACCAACTTTTCTTTGAAGATGGAATGTAATGGTTTGGGGGTGTTGTTTTTTTTTTTGTTTTGTGGTTTTTTATTTGTTATTGTCATGTGCTTTGCAATATGCACCAGAGCCACATTTAGGAAGAATATCTCCATAGCTCTGGTCAGGTGAGCTTCTTCATCTGTACACAATGATACATGCTGGTGTTGTCTTATTTCAACACTTCTGATGTTCTCGAGTTTGAAATTAGGGATAGTAATGTTCTATATTGCCTCTCAATTTGTCTTTGTGCAAAAAGCATGGACCCAAACAAAATGGGATATGCAGTTTTCTTTCCTTATGATACTCTAGTTTCTGTATACAGTTGTTTTGAGATTTTTGTATACCGTGTTTTTTTTCTTTCTCTTCTCTCCAAAAATGTAAGTCTATTATTTTGTTGTCGGTACATAATAAAATGGATGACTAAGTGAAAAGAGTACGAACGTGCACAAAAACCCAAGGAAAAGAACAAAATATAACGCAAAAATCAACGAATAATCTTGAACGATACAAAAGATTGCAGCATAATACGATACAAAGAATTTGGGACTGTATACTGTTCGCAAAATTATTAAGCCCGTGTTGGAGACTGTCTTGGAATTAAAATGGAAAGACGAATTTCGCCAAAAGACTATTCTTGGAGTTGGAATCCGTGATTATTGCATCGTGACGATAGAGTTCCGGTTCACACTTGAAACCAGCTTTGCTATGTATCCATCAAAATCAATGCGATGGATTTAAAACGACATGTCTCTCATCAAAACTGCTATTCGATGTCCGATTACTGTCTAGAAGCTTATATGTTACAACCATCCTGGCTTTGAAATGCAGTTTGCTTCTTGGCAAGATTAGATTTCCGCTGATAAAGATTGCACAGTGGCCATTATCTTTTATATGTATGCACGTTTTATTAAATTTCTGACGTTAACGCTATGTAGTAAACTTAATTTTTATGTCCCGGATTTACAGCGATTTGCCCATTCCTGCAATTCTGTGTGATCTGAAAGTCCTTTAAATTTAAATCTAAAGCGAGGGCTTTTTTAAATAAAAAAGGTCATATCGATAAGTGTCTGTTTGGACATTTCGGGACTACCACGATTATGACTTGGCTGCAAAGACTATATTGCTCCAAATTTTCTGCAGCAAATCAGTTTCGAACTTGTTTTACGCTTCTGTGTACCCGATGTTTTGGGTTTTTTATTCGACACTCATGCTTCTTGTAATACCATCTATTGACCTTACTCTGCACGTGTGTGCGGAAGGCTTCTTGTAAAAAAATCTGAGATTTTCTCTGCCCCGATTGGTACAGTGTTTATTACACATTATATTTTTATTAAATTTATCACGTGTTCTTGAAAGTTTTGAGAATTTTGCTTTAGATTACATCTTACTCTACTCACGTAAACAATGTTGTTCTGTCCTACTTAAACACATAGTTTTATTCGCTCACAAGTTATTTGACAAACTATCATATCTTTCACATTCTATTGAATTAAAATTGAAAGCAACCACCAACCCATCATTAATCATGTGATCCCAAATGAAATTTATCCCGCTTGGGAAAAAGAGTGACATGTACCAGCTACTGCGTCGCAATATGAAGTTAATTTCGTGATTAAATTTTAAATTCTTATATTTGTGGTGGCTGATGCACGATACAAATATTATCCTGTACATGTACATAATTTCACTCTAGGTAAAATATATTTAATTCGCATAGAAAATTAGAGAAATGATTTTGTTAGTACAGAAATATTAAATTCTTGAACTGTGCTAGACACTAAATGAATGCATCCAATATATGTCGCGTTTCTTTCCTCAAGATTTTTTTTTTACATGCTTTGAAGAATAAAGACATTTGTATCAGGTTGGATTTATTGTATACTGCCAGGCAATCACACTTGGCTCCATAGACCAATAAACTGTTGATCGACTACCACAACATTAGCTTTTGCGTAAGTCATTAAACCCTGCGTCATCGCTAGCATTGCCAATACTTATGTGTGAAGGGACTATTCCCCAATAATCATTGCTAAATAAGAAATTACGTTATTTTCGCACATTAAAATTACCAATGGCACCTCACGACAAGTAATCCTGACTTTATACATTCATGTTCGGAAAGTTTACTCACCGAAAGAAAGGAGCATAATTCAGAAAGGAAATATCTGTCAAGTTAATTAACGGTTTCGAAATCGATACACACATAGATTATGTAACGAATAGCGAACAGTGGAGTTAAAAAAAACCCGTATGTATCTACTAAAAATTCTGTTAACAGAACAATAATAATAAAACGAACAAATTAACTACTACTACTGATTGCTATGTATATCTAATTTATTTCGTGTGTTTAACTTATGCCCATGATTGTAGATTGTAATAGTCATTTGTAAATAATATATTACATACCTAATTCTTTCCCATGATTGTAGATTATATTTTAAGATAATGATCATTTGTAAGCAACATGTTTACTTGGATTTGAGTTTAGGACATTGGTTTTCCCTGGGAAAAGTACATGGTCTTTTTATGTGAAAGGTTGATTTGCTAAAATTTAAGTAAACAAAGCTGACCTCGTTTTCTCTTTGTCCTTATCGTCCATTAGGATGATGAAGCTTGTTTTTTTTTTCTTCAGAAAAGGTACATTGCTACATATGTCAATTGGGGATGTAAATGTTTTCATGAAAATTAATTATTCGGATTCTAACATATATCTAGTGAAATCAGTCTTTTAGTAGTATTCAGTAATAATTTGAGAGGATTTATGTATTTAAATTATTCATTTGAATTACAAAGTGCCTACAGATTTTGGAATAAATCACAATTATTTGATTATTTGTGAATTCGTTCAAGGACATTTTGGATTATATAATTGTTGGCACATCAGCTTGTTGAGGATATTGGTATACCAGCACATTCAGTAATATAATTTATTCACAACGCCCTACACTTATCGCTACGATGTCTGCAGTGTGACAGTTTATAGTGATATTTACCACTGTGGCATCATGCTGCAAACGCATGTAGCATTATGTCCCACCCAGTCACATTTACATTACCATTGCACCAGGCCCACCAGTCCAAACACTAACATCATAATGATGAGCGCCAAGCGAGGCAGCTGTTAGTACCATTTTTATAAGTCTTTGTCGTGACTCAGCCAGGGTTCGACCCCGCGACCTCCTGTTTCCGAGGCAGACGCTCTAACCACTTAGTGTATGATCATAGAGCAATAATAATAATAATAATAATAATAATAATAATAATAATAATAATAATAATAATAATATAATTATTATTATTATTATTATTATTATTATTATTATTATTGTTGTTGTTGTTGTTGTTGTTGTTAATTTCACAATTTTCAGTTGAAATGGTTTGAAAACTTAGGTTGGAAAAAAGTGTTATAAAATCACTGTCTTAGTATAAGTTTGATTATGTATTAGATTAGGCTCTGTTGATGAGATAGTATTTATTGGAAGAATTTAGACAACGATATGAAGATTATTTTGATGAACGAGTTAAATGTCGAACTAAAAAATATGGATTGATGGCATTGTAATAAGTATACCACAAATTATTTTAAAAACTATTTAGAGGTTTTCGGTGATACACATTTAGAAAATATAAACATGTTAAGAGCTGAGAATTTACCGCCAAGAACAAATATAGGAAGATGCGATAATATTTGTTATGAAGACAAAATATAACAACTGTAAACTCGGAATTTGAAAATGTATTACGCTTTATTATAACCAAGAAAAACGTGGAAGCAAATAGAAAGTGTACACCTTAATCTGTCTATAAAATACAAATATAACAAACTTAAAAATTCTCAATATTAGCGCGCTGTACAACAAAGTACTTTTTTAGTGAATATCAGTACGTCAGAAAATCCCTTTTAAGTACTCACTATGAACCTCTACACACTTTCTCTTTGTGATTAGACACTATTTTACTATATTATTTTGTATTCACCTTTTGGTATGTTGTTCATGCACTGGAAAATTGCACTTCCATCCGCATTGTGGCTTTCAGATCATCTACCTCTCAGCAAGTCGCTGATGTCGGGATTCATATTTTTAAAAAAAATCACTTGGGGATAAATCAGGGCTGTATGGAGGACGCAGACAAGTTTGGATACAATGTTCCTCTTGGAAGTCTGTCACGGCATCGGTTTCATCATAGAATAGATGGGCTCTGACCACTATTAATTTTCATGTACATTACATATAAATTTCTTTAAGCTAAACTCAGACCAACATTCCAACCACACTAGAATTTCTATGAATGACAGTGTTGTTGCACTCAAATTTTTATTCCACCTAATATGAATATTTATTTCTGCAACCTAAATTTGAGACTAATAAGCTCATATAGAACTTTGATTTGCAATCATTTACACTCATTACTAGTACACTCAAGTATACTCATTACTATTACACTCAATTACACATTACTATTACACTCATTACTAGTACATTCAATTACACTCATTACTAGTACACTCAGTATATTCATTGCTATTACACTCAATTACACTCATTACTACTACACTCATTTGCACTCATTGCTAGTACACCCAAGTATACTCATTACTATTACACTCTATTACACTCATTACTAGTACACTCAGTTACACTCATTACTATTACACTCATTTACACTCATTACTAGTACACTCAAGTATAATCATTACTATTACACTCAATTACACTCATTACTAGTACACTCAAGTATACTCATTACTATTGCACTCAATTACATTAATTACTAGTACACTCAAGTATACTCATTCCTATTACACTCATTACTATTCATTTGTCTCGGAAGTTTGAGACCTACTGAAGGATATCAGAACAAAATATATATTTATCTTAATTTTACAATGTAAACTAATGGACTAGCTTAAAAATATCATAAAGGAAAATAAATTCTAAGAACGATGTCTTGAAACCATTTGTCTAACTAAGCATATATAGGGGTTTCTCCGGCGTATAACACATTTAACAAACCAACATTCATAAATTACACCGACATGGTGTAATTGAAAAAGGATGATATTTAAGATATGAAATTTCAAAGCACTTGAAGTATTGATTTAATCCAGATTTACAGGTGTCATACAATTCTTTAAGTTAGGACATAGAACGAAATATTTCTCATGTATATTCATGTAATTATGTGCAATGCTCTTTTCGTTTTAATGAAAAAAGCAAACACGTGAAAAGAAAACTGCTTTTTGAATTTTGGACCACTATAAGGAATATACCGAATATAGATCAAAGAGAGCACTACTCTTTTAGGCCGGAGACGTACATATCGCAGATACGGATTCGTATATTTTAAAGTTCAGTTCTTACTTGGGGACAAGAGATTCTAAACACAATTGGTTTGATCTTTTTCAATGTGACATATTGTGAGACAATGTGAGCTCCTTTAAAGGAAAATTAAACATGCAGGCTTGATCTTGCATCGTTATTGAACAAAATACTTCTGACAGGAGTCAATGCTGATTTTGGAATTTGTTGCAGCCAGAAGCATTTATCCAGGAGGTTAACATGATTCTGAAGGATTCTGAGGAATGTAAAATTGCCTTTTCGTTCCAAATAACAAATAGATAGCAAGATTGTCTTCACTGGAATAACTATATAGAAACAAAGAATAAGATTATATAGTTATCTTTTATTCGTAATATAAAATTTTCCATGAGGAAAGTGCTTTCTATAGTAACAATAGTAATTAATAAAGAACTTATGGTTTTCTGTTTTTATCTTCCGAATTGTTGGTAGATAAATTTTTTTCGCCCAAATCTCTCTCTCTCTCTCTCTCTCTCTCTCTCTCTCTCTCTCTCTCTCTCTCTATATAAAGAGAGTGTATATATATATATATATATATATATATATATATATATATATATATATATATATATATATATATATATATATATATATAGAAAGAGTGTATATATATATATATATATATATATATATATATATATATATATATATATATATATATATATATATAGAGAGAGAGAGAGAGAGAGAGAGAGAGAGAGAGAGAGAGAGAGAGAGAGAGAGAGAGAGAGAGAGAGAGAGAGAGAGAGAGAGAGTTAGTTATTTGGATTTTTAACGTAGCTTTGACGATTTTTCAATCATATCGCTACGATGTCTGCAGTTTATAGTGAAGTCTAGGAAAGGGGTATCATGCCGCAGACATGAGAGAGAGAGAGAGAGAGAGAGAGAGAGAGAGAGAGAGAGAGAGAGAGAGAGAGAGAGAGAGAGAGAGAGAGAGAGAGAGAGAGAGAGAGTTAGTTAGTTAGTTAGTTAGTTAGTTAGTTAGTTAGTTGGATTTTTAACGTAGCTTTAGTGATTTTTCAATCATATCGTTACGATGTCTGCAGTTTTGCAGTTAATGACGAAGTCTAGGACAGGGGCATCATGCCGCAGACATATGTGTGTGTGTGTGTGTGTGTGTGTGTGTGTGTGTGTGAGAGAGAGAGAGAGAGAGAGAGAGAGAGAGAGAGAGAGAGAGAGAGAGAGAGAGAGAGAGAGAGAGAGAGAGAGATTTGGATTTTTAACGTAGCTTTAACGATTTTTCAATCATATCGCTACGATGTCTGCAGTTTATAGTGAAGTCTAGGAAAGGGGTATCATGCCGCAGACATGAGAGAGAGAGAGAGAGAGAGAGAGAGAGAGAGAGAGAGAGAGAGAGAGAGAGAGAGAGAGAGAGAGAGAGAGAGAGAGAGAGAGAGAGAGAGAGAGAGAGAGAGAGAGAGAGATTATGTGTGACATTGTTGTTCCGATATAACCATTCTGGAACAAGTCTGAATAACCTTCGTCTGAAAAATTAAAAAATTACTTCCATTTACCATAATCTTAATACATATTCCATGCGTTATCCAAATGATGGTATAATAGTTAATAATTTATTAATTTTATGTCTTTTATGTTTGTAAACTAGCCGGCACTTCAAAATAAAAAACGAAACTGTAACTGTAAATAGTTCAGTATCCATGCCTTCAACTCAACATTTACACGCCTGTTAAGAATCACTGTATACATAAAAAACGATTGTATCTGTTTATGGTAAGTCAATGAATGGACGTCATTGTTTTGTATTAAAGAAAACAACAAAAAAAAATCTTGTCAGGCGAGATACTAGAATTGACGGACGTTTAGATAATATAACGGACTCGCTTGTCAATCTTATGATAATGTCTTCTGAAACAACGCCGTCATATTGCATCACTTAAGTATAGTCTTTTGTCAAATATTTTATACCGCCTATTATGGGATGGATCATCAGAGCATTAAAAGATATGAACATTTTCCTAAATGCTACTGATGAAGCATCTTTCTATTTTATTTTTAAATAGTATCATCTTCATCGCACAATAAGTTATATTTAAAAAGTTGTTAAAGAATATATGTGAAACATTTAGACCCAAACATTTTTGCAGCACAAAGATGTCTTTGTGGACTTCACGCGGTGATATCTCTTCAGTAAATCTCTTCAAAAAAGACCATATAGGTTCTGTTCATTTTCAACATCTGAGAGTTAGTTTCTTACAGTTCATGTAAAACAAAGCTGTCAAAAGGATAACCGATTAAAGATATTTTTATTGCGGTCACTAACATTCCAATCGAAGGCAAATAAAGTCTTCTTTTTTACTATTATGGTCACCAATACTCTAAATGATGGTAATGAAAATATACCGTTTATCGAAGGTCACCGAAACTCCAATGTGAGACAAAGAAAGTTGACCGAAGCTCTTCAAAAGTCATTTTCGGTGAAAAGTCTGAAACAGGGGTTTATTTGCTCCTTGCTAACACCTTAAGCAAATGGAACTTAATTCATGACAACGTTTCATATCTTTTCAACGAAATGTATTATTGATTCTGAACCTTTAGAATTATGCTGGCTTTTTCAAACGCGTGGGTTCTCATTTGTTGTTATTTGTACGTACACAGAGGCATGATGTATGTGTAAATCTTCCCTATAATATGTTGTTATATGTTACCTTTATTGTTATCATTTACGTAAATTTGCCTTTGGGTCTGTAGAATTCAGAAAATAAATGTGTGTGGTTTGTGTGTGTGTTTGTGTGTGTTTGATTTAAGTTTTTAACGTAGTTTTAACAATTTTTCAGTCATATCGCTACGATGTCTGCAGTGTGGCAATTTATAGTGATGTCTAGTACTGGGGCATGGAAGAGCC